TTCCCATCGGGAAATTGAGTTAACTGAATACAATTGTCAGAGTGTGTGTACCCCTTGGAATCACAGGGATCCAGTTGGATTGTGTGTTTGGTTGTAATTTTAACTTGCAGGGGGCACAGGCCCATCGTGGATACCTGTGCACGATGGTGGAAGCGGAGATTGATCACCTCCGTGTACCTGCTTTGAACACATTGACTCCAGTGGTCCGCCTTTGCCCAGGCTGTTTCCAGGTTCACCAGGTGATGTAAAGGGCTAATGCTTTCTGCAGACTTGAGCGCTCGTCGTCCTTTTGTCGATTTCGCTCTCTCTTCAATGTTTCGAGTTGATGAACTTTTGGAGGTTTTCTTTGAGGCCTCATGGAGGATACCAGTTGCTTTAACTCACCTGGAACCTTAGGTTTTTCACTTAGGCCGGCGTGTGGCAACCGCTTTCAAATCAGCACGCATTTCTATAAGTGTGTGGAACACACTTGTCGCCAGTGCCAATTGAGAAAAGGTAGCGAAGCAGTGTATGAGTCCGTGAGAGGGAGAAAGAGAGAACTAATCAAAAATGAAGCGAACGATGTGAAGGAGAGGGAGGATGTGGGAAGAGAAAACAAAAAAGGCAAAAGATTTGAAAAGAGCAAAAAAGCATGAAGAAAGGAAAACGCTATGTTTCTGTAACATCTTCCAAGCATCTTCAAATTGGCCATACAACTTCAGAGCCCATCTGTGCCTTGGATCACACTGGGTCCCTCACCAGCTTTATCACAAGAAGCACAAAGCCCAGTAGAGATCCAGTGCATTTCTAACATTATCTAGTGACGGTCCTGAAGCTTTACTGCTAGTGACCCTTCTGAAGCTGGTTTCATCTTGATGACATTCCTCTCAACACTCAGGCAGCCGAGGGTCTCGAAATCCTTGTGATTCTCCGTGATCACAGCCTCTTTTCGAGCACAAGCCCCTACTTAGTACTTTCCGAGCAAGGAAAGAGCCAGTCTTTGCTATGGCATCCCTTCTGGAAAAAATCTGACCTCTCCCGGCCTTTTCAATCAACATTGTCCTTAGGCCTTTCACCCAAGTGAAGTTGCACTGCACATTCAACACAGGCCTCAAACGAGTCTCACGTCTGGCATGTTCTGATAGCACAAAAATTAAAGATTCAACATCACACGGATGTGAAAAAACGAAGAGAACCTCTCCGAATATGTCCAAGTAATGCCGGGCTATATACGACCATGGCTTCACTAATCGCCATAATTACCTGCAGTAATGTGTTTGCTCCCAAGCGCTGGGGCAAATTTGTGAGGTAGCAAACTGATGTCTGTGTGTGTGTGTCACTGTGCATTATATCTACAGTAACAACATAACCTTTATTATCATACATCAATCATCATATTTCAAAACATATTATAATGCCAAAAGGCACTTCAAAGACTGGCAGATCAAGGTTGTGACAGCCTTCAGGATCCGCAAGCTCCTACAAAAGACATGCGCCACTTCCAAACAGGACGGTTGGAAAACATGAAATTCGGTTGGAGAAACCTACGGCCTCCGGATTTGAACGCCACGGACCGAAACCCGAGTTCTGAGTTCTCAAGTTCACGGACCTGCGAGACCCGAACACACGTTTCAGTCGCTCCTAGGAGCAAGGACGCTCCTGGCATCGCTACTAGGAGCAAGCAAGGACGCTACTAGGGGCTCCTGGCATCGCTACTAGGAGCAAGGACGCTACCAGGGGC